GCAAATATTAAACTGTTAGATGTATGATATTAGGGATGCATGGCAAGAATGTATGTAAACTTTAAAATGGTTAGCAAACCCTAAATGTGAAAAGATAATAATTTGAAATTGAATCACTCGCACATGCGCACTCCTAGGGTATACTCTCACTTCGGTTTCCTTCAGTAAACGATCATTAAGTATAGGGTATTTTAGTGGTCGCTCTCTTGTCTAAACAAAGATCAAAGTCCCGTTCGGAAAAGTTGCCTCGGAATGGTTGTCTCGAATACGTTGCCTCGAATATTGATCTTAAGACATTAGGGTTATTACTAAGACGTCCTAGCATTGCTTTAATGATCGTACGTCCCTTTTGAATTGACCCTTAAAACTCCAACGACGGGGCTACCTACTCACTAATAGTGGGATAGCGCTGTCTAAAGGAAACAAGGATAGAAACATTCTCTTTTTCGAGTAGGTAGATTAGTTCTTAAGTACTTGCTCAAACAAAACAAACATTTTTACACCAAACACTCTTTCCAAACAAAGTTTTCAAAAACGACTTCGTAACACTCTTGAAGACAGAAACAAGAGTTAAATAGAAGTAAAACAAAAAACTTTTTTAAATCAAACACACACAAGCAATTTTGAAAATGATGAGCAAGTACCTAAGAGCCCGTGGAAAACCAAGGATAGAAAGGGTGTTAATACTTCCTTTCTATAATCTACCCCCTGTACTCAAAATCTCGAAAAAGGAAATTTTTCTGTGCTTTTTTCCTTTCCAGTTGGATAAAATAAAAGTCGGTGACGACTCTTGCTTACCGCGACATTTTGCGAACACAAACGCAAAACACAAACCAGCATTTTCAAAACAGTCCGGTTCTGGCCACTGTATCACACCATGCAATGCGGACAACCCATTTTACCATGCATACCCCAACAAGACAACATGCCATATGCTGGAAAGTTATTAATGGTCCTCATCAAGGCAACTTGCAAAGTAAAGTTTTGTTTACATGATATATCATAAGTCAATTCTCCAATCCACAACCTCTTCAAATCATCAATTAAAGATTGTAAGTACACATCGACTCTGGATTTTGGACTGGAAGGCCCTGGAATGAAGCACGTCAAAAACGTGTATGGTTTTGTCATGAACATCTCAGGAGGGAGGTTGTAAGGAGTTACAATAACTAGCCAACAAAAATACGTACTTCCCGACACTTGCACATATGGGGAAAAACAATCAGAGCATATTCTAAGCCTGACATTTCTAGGTTCTACGGCAAAATCAGGACGTGTTCGGTCCAAAGTGCTTCCATGCCTCGCCATCAGATGGATGTCGCATAGTGCCTGAACTTGTTCGGTTTTTATGATGCCATGTCATTTGACTTGCATTGTGCATTGAAGCAAATATTATTTTTAACCTTGGTATTATCGAAAGATAAAACATGGACTTTACTGCTACACGCTTTTGTTTGATGTTAATGGCTCTACTGCGAACTTGATATCTTCGACTCTTACAAAACTTGCATTCCTCCAACAATCCATCTTGAGTACCAAACTCATTATCATAAAACAACATGCAACCACTAATGCAACAATCAATCTTTCTTACTTTTAAATCCAACTTTGAAACTCACTTCTAAAAACTTGTAGGCAAGTTGTCTTTCGTTGTGGTGGAGTCCAACATCAATTTTTGCAAAATGTTCCAAACACTGATCAGGAACATTCCAATTTGGACTTGGCGGCCAATAATCTACACACACATTGATAACTTTGAGTCTGACAATCCCTCGAACGGTGTATTCATCTCATTCAACAACTGATAAAATCTTTGCGCTTCCTCATTCGACAACTCTTCCCTGTCAAAATCTTCAGGTTGATCATATGTCACATTCACACCAAAAGCATCCTCAACCATTTCACCTATCAGATTAAAGTTTTCCTCAAATTCCATAGGCGGTCGACTACTTGAAGCATATGTGTTGCTAGTCTCTGGTACGGTTACTCGACATTTCTTCACCATTATACGTCCAAACCCAATAATTTTCAATGAAACCCCTTCTATGCAAATGACATGCTACTTCCTTCGGGTCACTAATTATTGGTCTACATTCACATTTAAAACAGGGACACCTAACTCCTCCTTCGCTTCGACAATATTCCTGAGCTAACGTCCACGTGATAAACTCATTAACTCCTCCTATAAAATGGGATTTAAGTGCACGTCTTCCTGAATACAATCTATCGTACATACAACTACGACCATACCGATAATATTCTATACTGCACATTTATACAATCATTATCTTATTATTAACCATAAATAAATATATTAATCATAAATAATTATATTCTATTTATATTTTAACCTTAAATAATATTTAACTATAGTAACTATAATTAAATTTTATAATTATTTTGAAATTATATATATTCTAAATATTATATATATATAATATATATATATATATATATATATATATATATATATATATATATATATATATATATATATATTATATATATATATATATATATATATATATATATATATATATATATATAATATATATATATATATTATATATATATATATATATATATATATATATATATATATATATATATATATATATATATATATATATATATTATCTATAATTTTTTTAAAAAAATATTATTCTTTAGGAAATATAAAATATAATTATATTCTATTTACATTTTAACCATAAATAAATATTTAACTACGGTAAATATAATTAAATTTTATAACCATTTTGAAATTATATATATATTCTAAACATTTTATAAACATATTGAATATATATATTAACCATAATTTTTTTTAACAAAGATATTATTCTTTAAGAAATATAAAATATAGTTATATTCTATTTATATTTTAACCATAAATAAATATTTAATATAATAACTATAATTAAATTTTATAACTATTTTGAAATTATATATATATATATATATATATATATATATATATATATATATATATATATATATATATATATCCTAAACATTTTATAAATATGTTGAATATATATATTAACCATAATTTTTTTAACAAAGATACTATTCTTTAAGAAATATAAAATATAATTATATTCTATTTATATTTTAACCATAAATAAATATTTAACTATAATAACTAGAATTAAATTTTATAACTATTTTGAAATTTTATATATATATATATATATATATATATATATATATATATATATATATATATATATATATATATATATATATATATATATATATATATATATATATATATATATATATATATATATATATATATATATATATATATATATATATATATATATATATATATATATATATATATATATATATATATATATATATATATATATATATATATATATATATATATATATATATATATATATATATATATATATATATATATATATATATATATATATATATATATATATATATATATAATTAGAATAAACTAAAATTAATATTATATATATTAATTTTATATATAAAATTAAAATAATTTATAAATTAACAGAATAATCTAACCTCTTCTTTAATCTCCTTCAAACAATCTTTTTCTTCAATCTTTTTGTAAACTCTTCAATGTTCTTCAATTTTTACAAAACAAATTGAACAAAAATTAGTATTAGTAAATATAATAAACAATAAACAAAATTATATCAATATATTGAAATTATATCATATAATATAATTACCAGTATCAATAAAATTGTAGTTTTGGAAAACTTTTTGAAGAAATTTAATGGAAGATTTGAGATGATTTGAGGAGGAGAAGAAAACAGAGAAGATAATAAGAATGGGAAAACTGTGAAACAATGAAACTGAAATTTGGATATGGAGTTGTGCACGCGTTTCTATATACGCCACGGAGCGACGTAAAAATCACGTCGCAACCTTGTCACGTGATTTTCACGTCGTAACACACATAACGGTCATAAAATATTCGTTCTCTCTGCACATGGACTGTAACTTGTCAAGTCAAAACCAAATAAATTCTTCCCTTAAAAGTTGCGACGTGAAAAACACGTCACAACTTAATTTTTAATTTTTTTTAAAATCCCTCCATCTGAACGTTACAGCTTTTGTTTTGTTTTATTTTAACTTTTTTCTAGCGACGTGAGTCCCACGTCGCAATAAATTTCATTTAAAAAAATCTCTACATCTGAACGTTATGTTGATTTTTTTAATATATAAATTTTTAGTGACGTGATTATCACCTCGCAACAATTTTTTTTAGCCACGTGATAATCACGTCACAACTTTATATCACAAAGAAACACATTTTTTTATAGTGAATAAATTAATCTTCTTTTATTAAACCTTTTACCAGTCCAAAATAATACTAAATATAAAATAGTGTGTTGAAAAAGCTCTAATTTCGTATAAAAAAGAGAACGGTGGTGATGAGTTAGGCCATGTATAATAGCTAATAAATTATAAGCAATACAAAAATAAGATATTATGAAAATGCAGGAGTATTAAAAACTTTTAGGGAGAATTTTTTTGATCTATTGTCTATTGTGATCATGTCAGGTTTGAAAAATTAGTCTACATAATTGTGCATTGGATATTTAATTTATCCAACAACAAAAATAGGCATAATTTAACTATATTTACCATATTTAATGTTATTGTAGGTAAAATGTCTAAATAAATATATATTTTTAACAAATTCTTTTATTTAAATGGAATAAGTTTTCATGAAGATAAATTTAGAGGACACAGCTATATATATTTTAATTATTTTTAGTACACTATGAAAATAATTATTTTTTTAATAGAAATGAAGATAATAATTATTTTTTGTTTAAATATAAGACATTCATGAGTGCATAATGTAATGCTGTCCAACATAAATACATTATCCTTGAACCCTTTTCTTATCAACACAAAACCACTATCTAATCCTCTCCTCAAACCTTCTCTTACATACTCAAAAAGTTCCTAGCCATTTCATTTCTAAAAAACCAATGTCTGCAGAACAAGTTTTGAAGTTGTTGGATACCAACTGGTTTGAGATATCAATTCTCACCAACCACAACAAAACATCTTCACCTTTACATTCAACAACGTTACTAGATTCAACCTCAAAGTCCGGTGTGAAAGAACTCATTTTTCTAGACACAAAACTCCTTAGAATTCCAACTCTTCAAGTAAGGTCCTTTAGCGACGAAAACTTAGGTTCCAAGATTGGTTCTTTCTCTGATTCTCTTTCACCAAACTCTGTCCTTTTACCACAGAAGCTAAAACCAATTCTCTCAGGTAAAGAAGTGATAGAATTCACACTGGAAAAAGAATCAACCGATGCGAAAAAGGCGAGGCGTCGTAGTCATAGAACCCGGCTCAGAAAAGGTAAGAAAACTAGTCGAAGTTTCTCAGAGCTTGAGTTTAAGGAGCTAAAAGGGTTTATGGATTTGGGATTCATATTTTCCGAGGAAGATAAAGATTCAACATTGGTTTCTTTGATACCTGGATTGAGCAAAAAACAACACAATGTTGATGATGAAAGTGGGATTTGTAGGCCTTATTTGTCTGAGGCTTGGGATCTTATTAGGAAAAGGAAAGATGTGAGTCCTTTGCTTAATTGGAGAGTACCAACTCTTGGCAATGAGATTGATATGAAGGATAATCTCAAGTTTTGGGCTCACACAGTTGCATCCACTGTGAGATAACATGAATCAACATGTTTTCTTTTCTTTCTTTTTGGTGATCAATGTTTCAAGTGCAATCTTCTTGATTTTCTTTGTACTACTCTTTGTTGTATATATTTGAATAATGTACTACACTTCCCAAATACTTTTTTGAGTCCAATTTCTTTTACTTGTTCGATTTGGTTTTTTCTTTCAAATGCAACATTTGAGGCAAATGGGAAAAAATGCAACTGATGCAACCCAAATTGCAGTTACAAGGTTTTAAATATCGGTTGTCGGTTGTCGTCTTGTGGTCATTTAAAGGTTTTGCCAATTTTAACGGGTCAAAATGTTACGGTAGTGATTAAGATCGTCACACTGTGAATTAACCATAACTTTTTTTATCATAAAATCGGTGACCAGCAATATTAATATCACCATTTTTCAATAATGTTTTGTCAGGACCGTTTTCACGATAAAATACTGTTTTTTGTTTCTCCATGTTTCTTTAATGATTTGTTTTATATCTTGACGGTTGGACAGTTCAATAGGTTGAACATAAAGGGTATCAATGATATGTTTGGCATAGTGATTCCATATACCAACCCAAGATTGCTGAATAATATATTTATTTTAGTTAATAACAAGAATAGTTGGGCATATGATAAAGACATGAAGATAGGCACAAAGTCGCTGGTAATTAATATTCATTTGAGTGGGGGATTCAATCTATAAGTTATAACATAGTGTTTTATTAACAAAAGTTAAGATATGTTGGTATTGCACTTTAATCGAAAGTAGAAAATGAAAGTTGCGTTAACACCACTTTCCATCCCCTCATGTGAAATTCCAAGTGGAAAATAGGGTATGATTGCATTGGCCATATTGAAAAAAACAAATTTTAAAGTTGATATTTTCAAACATTTTAATCATCATGTTCTTGAATTTTTAAAACAATTTCACTTTTAAGATTTTAATATTTTTTATCATACCTAATCAGAAGGGATCGTCAAAGTTCACGAACTTTGAATCGAATATCGGTTGAATGTGAAGTGAGGAGGGGAGGGAGTAGACACTCTGATGTCAAAGTAAGGTTCAAAGCGAGTGCAAGTAAAGTGTGAGAGTATGAATGAATGAATACATGACCCTCTCATGTGAGAAGATATTTATAGCTCCCAGCGTTGGGCCAAAATCTTTAGTGTTGGGCCACGATAAGGACCGATAATGAAGAATGTCAGGATTACGGGTGTATGGAGCCCAACACGTGGCCTCCTCCCTGGTCAACTGTCCAGAAGAAATAAAGAAGTTGGACCCATCATTCTCGGAGGACAGATTAGTAGTGGTTAGAAACACTTACAAGTCACATTCCTTTAATGGACATGTGGGGAAGTGCCCAACGGTCATTGATTTGGGTTGCATGAATTACCTTTGTAGAGATATTGGACTGGATCTCCCCAACAATGAGGCAGGTACTGGCCCAATTTAAAATAATTTCTAAAATTACAAAATGATAAACTTTTTTTATTATACATTATTATATATGCGTAAAATTGTCATTCGAAATAGGAATTAGGAACAATTAAAATGAGCAGTAATTTTCTCTCTCATTTTTTTTAACACTCATGTGTCTAAGGTAAATTTCAAATCTAAAATCTTTAATTAAACTGAAAAAAATCTCTACCACCTCACCTAAGTTATTTTGAATATATATAATTTTTTTACGTATCTTGAATATATTCTTTTTTTTTACTATAACCTAGTAACATTTTTCTAAATTTAATAAATTTTAAATATTTTTAAATATGATGTAGTAATAAAAAAGATAATCAATTGAATGATAAAAGCTTCAGTTGCTTAATTATTTTAATATAATATAAATGATTTTTTCTCTTTAAAAAGAAATTATTTCAATTTAATCAAATAATATTAAAAATAAAAGTAAAGTACTTTATGCTTATATATGGCACATTACATCAGTTAATATATATTAGGCATAATTGGTTCCCACGTCCCTTAACTTTGAGCGAAGTTTTACTTTGGTCCCCGAACAAAAAAATGTTATCTAATGATCTCGTAATTTTACTTCCGTTAAATCATTTGGTCCCCACCATTAGTTTTTGTGAAAAACTGTTAAGTATCGCTTAGGTGGCTTGCTAGGTAAGCAATTATCATTCAGACTTTGTGTTATAATCTTTCTAGGGTTTGTGACTTGCCTCCATCTTCCATTTTCTTATTTCTTCCATTAGATGCAATTATTTTCCTTCTTCCATCATCAATTTCTTCTTTCTTCTGTATTTCCTTCTTCAATCTTCCATCTTCCAAATTAGGGTTCAATGTCAAAGATTGCGAGCAATGCTTCAATGTTAAAAAGCCAAAGTTATGGTACATTTGGGTCTGTGGTTCGTAAGAACAAGAAAATGGAGTGTTTTTGTCTAGATGAAAGTGTTATTTGAACTGTTAATGATGTGAACAATGTCAACTACGAGAGAAAATTATGGGATTGTAGAAATTACAGAAATCACATGGATGAGGGTTGCAATTTCTTCAAGTGGTTAGGTGATGAGTTGGTTGATGAAAGGGACTTGAATTTTGAAAGACAAAATAAGATAATTAACAAATTGAAGAATGAAGTTATTTACACAAAAGGATGGTTGAAAATGTCCATTGTGGTTGGGATGTTTAGCATAGGGTTGAACCTAGTGTTTGTAACAATGTATTTCAATTAGAATTAGAGTAGTTCAATTTTATGTTTTCACATTTCCAATGTATTCTCAATTAAGTTAAGTTAGTTTCATGAATAATAGTAGTGTCTATTTCAACACATTACCGATGTTTCTTCATTATTCTATGTGTTATATGTGTTACATAATTGGTATAATTTTGTCATATAATACAACCTAGTAAAATGCAGATGAAGGATAATAGACCATTGTAAGACATTAATATAACATTCCAAAATAAATCTGAAGTATGATACATAACAGACATTATAAGTTATTTCAACATCCATTAACTGAAGTATGATACATAACATGCATTATAATCCATATCAAAATAGATTTGAAGTATGATACATAACAAGAATTATAAGTCATTTCAATATTCATTAACTAAGGTATGATACATAACATACATTATAATCCATTTCAAAATAGATCTGAAGTATGATACGTTCTAAAATGTGAAAGGACATTGTCAATAAACCATTAAAAGATATTTTAATAACATTACAAAAAGGCATACATAAGCCATATCAGTAAGCCATTAACAGGCACATCAAAATGACATTACAAAATAGTGAACAAACATCATAACAAAGATCAAGGTTGATTTGGTGGTGGTGGCTGAGTTGTTCCTTCTTGCACCTGACTTGGAACACTTGTTGGTTCTGCTTCTTGAGTTATATGAGCTTGTGGTTGTGGTAGTTTACAGGTTGCCTTGTTGTGACTAACCTTGTGGAAATGACTACATTTAATTCCATGTTTTTCCGTTTCATGTGTGTCTCATCCCTCATTAGTTCTCCAGCTTCCCTATTCTTTTTCTTCTATGGCCTTCTAGGCTGCCTCTTTATTGGTGGTGGCTGAAGATCAACTTCAGTAGTTTTGTCCCAAAAGGATTCCCCATTAAGTGGATAAATAACAAGTTCATAGCAAGCTGAATAGTTTTCCTTCTTGTAACAGTTAGGTACAAAGTCATCAATCTGCAAGTGTTGATCCTTCATGCAAGACATTACATGGTCGCATGGAAGCCCAGTCAACATCCATATTCTACATAAGAATTCTTTCTTGTAAAGGTTGACAGTAAATTTTTCTCCATTGATTGAGGTATGCCTTACCTCATAGTCATATTCACCTGCACGCCTGTAAAACCGTTTTAATGTTAGCCAAGGTACTGACAATCCAATGTTAGAGTAAAATGACAACAAATTAACTATGTTGCCTCACAATCTAATGATTGGTTTTCTGTGACTCCCTTTCCATCCTCTTCTTGATGTTTGGTAGGATGATGCCCTCATATTTGGCAATTTTTTTTCTATTGGATTCCCATCTCAGCATTCGATAGACTTTAATTTCCTCAAGCATTGTCACAATGGGCTTTGCTCTAGCAGCTACAAACACAGAATTGAAGGCCTCAGACATATTATTGACCAAAGTGTCATATCTTGTACTTGGTTGGAACCTTGATTTGCTCCAATAACTTGGTGGAATTTTAACGAGATGCTTGAATGCCTAGGATTAACTTCCTTGATTTCATGCATTATTTTCTCCCAAGCATTTACATAACTTGCACATGCAGCCCACTGTTTACCATTGTTTTTGGTAAACAACCGCTGATCTCCAAAAAGGTAAGTTCTTTTTGGTTTACTTACGGGATCGATCAGATTAATCCCAGGACATATGCTAATTTTTGTAAGATGGATAAGCAGGAAGAACACACGTTCGACCCAGAGAAAGGATGTTTGAGATTTTGGAAAAGTAAGCAGAAATGTAGAAATGCAAGTAAAAGAAGTAAAAAAGATAACTTTGTAGGATAATAGTAAAGTAATGTAAAAACTTTCATTAAGAAAAAAAGGTGTTTCCAACGTACATTTCTCAGTCTTTATCCTTTCTCACGCAGCAGTTACTTGGATAATGTTTGAGTGACTTAGTACAATAGGTTGAACACACTTGAAAATTACAAAAGTTTCTTAATTTATACTAAAAATAAGTAACCGTCGAGGAATCATTCTGCGCTAAGATGAAGACAAGTGTCTTCTACATGTCCCCCGACCTATGGCTTTCAGCCACGTTGCTTCTTCTTAAATGCTGGAGAAACTGCCTTTCCCTCCAATAATTCAAAATTCAAATAGTCCTTGTATCATGTGTCAAAGCGAGGATACTTTCTCTCAGTCGAGGGACATAAGTCCTCTTCAGTCGAACGAACCTGAAAATGAGCCTTGGTCGAAGGCTCAAATATAACTTAGATCTTTTTCCCTAAGTTGTTTCATATGTCGAACATTCTTCTTGACTTGGTTTATTCTAGTTTTTTGGTCTAAAAGACCA